TTGAGCCGCCTTTTCTGCATCCTGTGTCTCAAGGTTGCCTCCTCTGTTCAGTAAGGGACCCAAACTTTCCCTGATCCTCCTCTTGCTACTGACATACTTGTAGACACCTTTCTTGTTACCCTTCACATCGCTTGCTAGCTGCAACTCCAATTGCATTTTGGCTTTCCTGACTTCATCCCTGTGTACCTGAGCAATGACTTTACATTGTTCCCTAATTATTTCTTGAAGTTTCTACTTCTTATAAGCTTCATTTTTGTGATTTAGTTTACTGAAGAGTGCCCTGCTAAGCCAAACTGGTCTTCTGCCGTATTTTCTAGTCTTCCTGCGCAGCAGGATGGTTTGTTTCTGCACTCTCAGTAAGGCTTCTGTAAAGTACAGCCAGCTGTCCTGGACTCTTCTCCCCCTCAGACTGGCTTCCCAGGGGATCCTGCCCATGAGTTCCCTAAGCAAGATGAAGTCTGCTTTTCTGAAGTCCACGGTCCTTACTCTGCTGCTCTCCCTCCTTTATTTCCTCAGGATCCTGAATTCAGTCATCTCATGGTCACTGCTTCCAAGTTGCCATCCACTACTACATTGCCCACCAATTCATCCCTGTTTGTGAGCAGCAAGTCAAGAAGAGCATGGCCTGTAGTTGGCCACTCCAGCATGGGCTCTAGGAAGTTTTCCCCAGTACTCTCCAAAAACTTCCTGGATTGCCTGTGCACTGCTGTATTGCCCTCCCAGCAGATATCAGGGTGACTGAAGTCCCCCATGAGAACCAGGGCCTGTGGTCAGGAAACTTCTGCTAGCTGTTTGAAGAAAGCCTCATCTACCACTTCCTCCTGGTGATCTATAGCTGACACCCGTCACCCTTATTGCTCTTTCCTCTGACCCTAACTGAGAGATTCTCAACAGGCCTATCTCCAGTTTCAGACTGGAGCTCTGAGCAGTCATACAGCTCTTTTACATAAAGCACAATTCCTCCTCCTCTTCTCCCCCGCTTGTCCATCCTGAACAGTTTGTACCCATCCATGACAGTGCTGCAGTCATACAAGCTCCCACTAAGTCTCTGTTATCCCGATCACGCCATAGTTTTGTGACGGCGTGAGGACCTCCAATTCTTCCTGCTCGTTTCCCAGGCTACATGCATTTGTGTACAGGCACCTGAGGTAACTAGTTGATTGCCTGGATTTCTCAGGAAGTATGAGAGCACTTCCCCTGTTGCCCCCTCCTGCTTGCTCTTCCTCCAGGTCTCCTGCTTCCTCACTTACGTCAAGGCTTCAGTCTCCATGCCCCAGTGAACCTGGTTTAAAGCACTCCTCACTAGATTAGTGAGCCTGTCCGCAAAGATTCTGTTCCCTCTCTTTGCTAGGTGGATCCCATCTTTTCCCAGCAGTGCTTTTTCTTGGAAGAACATCCCATGGTCAAAAAGGGCAAAGCCCTGCTGGCAACACCAACTGCGCAGCCAGGAGTTGATCTGCGGGATGCATCTGTTCCTGCCTGGGCTCTTTTCCTTAACTGGAAGGATCGACGAGAACAAAACCTGAGCCCCAGACCCCCTCACCCTTACCTTATCTTTGCCTGACCTTCAAATGGGGACCTTCATTTTGTATTTTGTAGTCTTTCTTAATCTGTTGTTGCTGTCCTTACTTATGTTACATAGTGCCTACCAGAAGACAGTGTCCTTTCTGAATTAAAATGTTGCCCAACATGAGTAAAGGGGCCATCTTGAATGTATCTTGAATGTAGACATCAAGAAGGCCTTTGGCACTGTTTCTCACTCTATGCTCCTAAAAAACTAGGTGACTGCAGCATCGATGCTTACACAGTCAGATGGGTGGCAAATTGGCTTGATGGTTGCACCCATAGAGTGGTGGTGGATGGGTCGTCTTCGACCTGGAGGGATGTGGGCAGTGGAGTTCCCCAGGGTTTGGTCCTTGGGCCTGTGCTATTCAACATCTTTGTCAGCTACTTGGAGGTGGGCATGGAAAGCACGCTGTCCAAATTCGCTGATGACACAAAGATGTGGGGAGAAGTGGGCACACTGGAGGGGAGGGACAGAATCCAACTAGATCTAGAAGAGTTACAGAGGTGGGCAGATGAGAATAGAATGGAATTCAACACAGACAAGTGCCAGGTGCTGGATCTAGGGAGAAGGAACCTGCAACACACCTGTCGGCTGGAGAACACCCTTCTTGTCAACAAGGTGGCAGAAAGGGATCTTGGAGTCATTGTTGACTCCAGGATGGACATGAGCCACCAATGCAAGGAAGCAGACAGTAAGGCTAACCGCACCTTGTCGTGCATCCACAGATGCATCACAAGCAGGTCCAGGGAGGTGATCCTTCCCCTCCATGCAGTGCTGGTCAGGCCACAGTTGGAGTACTGTGTCCAGTTCTGGGCGCTGCACTTCAAGAGGGATGTGGCTAATCTTGAGAGGGTCCAGAGGAGAGCCACTCACATGGTCAGGGGGCAGCAGGCCAAACCCTACGAAGATAAACTAAAGGGTCTGAATCTATTCAGCCTCCACAAGAGAAGTCTGAGAGGGGATCTGGTGGCTGTCTATAAACTCACCGGGGGCACCAGCGGAATATAGGTGAGGCTGTGTTCCCCTGGGCACCACCTGGGATAACAAGGAATAATGGCCACAAACTGATTGAGAGTAGGTTCTGGCTTGATATCAGGAGGCATTACTTTATGGTTAGGGCTGCCAGGCTCTGGAATGGGCTCCCATGGGAGGTGGTGCTCTCCTCTACCTTGGGGGTCTTCAAGAGGAGGTTGGATAGATATCTGGCTGGGTTATTATGATCCCAGCACTCGTTCCTGCCCAGGGCAGGGGGTCGGACTTGATGATCTGTTCAGGTCCCTTCTGACCCTAGAAACTATGAAACCTTAGAAACTATGAATTTGTTTGTGTGCATCCCAGTATATTTGCAGGTTGGCTAGCTAAGGTAGCAGTAAAGTTTGTTAAAACTTTAAAAGGTCTGTGCAAGTTGTTGCAGTGACTCTTCCAAAATAAGGCAGCAAACAAACACAAGCAAATTATAATGAGGGTAAATAAAGGAGGATAGGAGTAAAAATGCAAACCCTCGATAGCCTTAGTTTCAGCCTGCTCCCTAGACTCTGTTTGGGGTGCCTTGGCATCCTTGATTGAATTCTCCATCTTCTGACTCCTTGTTTATCCTCTGCATCTGCATCCTTTGCTTTCTGCTCTCATATATTGCCTGCATGTTCTCTTAGTCCATTTTGAAATTCTTACATTATATACTTTTTAAGTAACTAAGCTAGTGATTCTCAGTGTACCCTGGTAACCTGAGGTGTCTTGAGATCATTTCAAAGGTGCTACAGAGTACAACGCAATGTTAGTACTGTTAGATGTGTAAACATGATTCACAGGATAAAACCAGAGTCTTCAAATTGGAATCTGTCATGTTGAAACAGTCAGGCCTGTTATGTTCTTTCTACCACAGGAGAATTACTAAAGTATTTTTCTGTAGTCAGAAAATTAGTGACAGCTGAGAGCTGGCATTTTCCAAAGGGTGCTTCAAGTCTATTAAGGGGTGCTTCAAGTCTAAAAAGGTTGAGAACCACTGAACTAAGTAGTGTTCTGATAGATGCATTTTATCACTTACAGCTTTCCCAGTGGAAGAGCAGTATCAGGCCATCTGGGTCTGTTCTATTGTTGGAAGTTAATATTTTGTGCAAATTTGCAATTATGGAGGCTTGGTGGATGTTACTAAAGGCTTGGATATTTAGAAACTTTTATCAGAGAATTGTTGGCTTTCTACCCAGATCCTCAGAGAGGCTGTCATCTGCAAAAGTTTATGCCTCTCTGAATTAATTAGTCTCTAGGATGGCACCTTGCCTTCAGCCTGGCTTCAGACTGGCCAACTACCTCTCTCTCAAAATGAATTAGCAAATCAAGCTTGAACGTTTGTCAAATATAAAACAGTTTCCATTAAAGCTGAATTGAATCTTGGTTTTTCCAACAATGGAAAGTGTATAAAGAAGACTTAAGTAGGAGAGACTCAACCAGAACAACTTAGCTTTATTTTTTATCCACTGGTATGTCAGCTGCCAAATTCAGCACTTGTAACTGATGATGAGCAAACTCGGTAACTCATACTATGGGTTATGTTTACATATGATGTGTGTTATACAGAATTATTGCCTATCTCAGAGACATAGTCTAAATTAAAGATTCATTTTGACTTCCATTGAAATCAGTGACAAAAGCTTTAGCGGGAGCAGGATCAACTACTTCGCAAAAACAATGAAAGTTGTACAGGAGACCACTCTTACTGGAATATCTTTTATTTTGAGAGAGCACTTCAAAGTCTCTCTCAAAGAGGAAGTACAGTTCTGTCCCCTTTTAATTCAGTCTCCATCAAGCATATGTTGTTTATTGGTACTTTGAGTACTTAGATGTGAATTGGGTCAGATTTGGTACGGTCATTACAGGTGAGAAGTGGTGGAAATGTTTGCATGCAAACTCTGTACCTGCATTCACCTGAAGGTGGGGGATTTACCCTATGGGAGAATGGTATTGCCACTGGCCTTCCCTGTGGATGCTGCATATGGAGGCAATGCCAGGACCATCTAAATCTTCACTGGACCCTGAGCAGTAGAGTCTGCCTGGGGGAGAATGAATTTTCTCTTCATCCTACCCGTTTTCTACACTATGTTGATTGGTTTGCCTTCTACCACCCATTCTCCCTCTCCCTCTGAAGTAAGTTTTGCAAACTATTTGTATCCATCTCCTAAGGGGACTTTTAGAAGCACATTGAAACTGATTTTTAGAATTGCTGAATCACTGTAGCTTTCACGGAGTTCAGCTGAGTGATCTTCTCATGAAGAAATCAAGCCCAGATGGGTGTCTCATGCAGGCTCATGGGCTCTTCCCATGCTTTTAATATTTACTAGTTTAATAAAGTAAATAAAGACTAAGCTCAAGGACTACTGGCAGATACAACACACTCACTGATTCAAGTTTAGTCGCTGATTCACTTTTCTTATAACAGGTGGAGAATACTACTCAGTAGACTACGTTGCCCTTCTTGATGTAAAAGAAACCTGGAATAATAAGATATTGACACTGCCTGCTAAACTGACCTTCAGGAGTACATCACTGGTACTTACTTTTCAGTATTATTTTACTCCGTTACAATCTATATACAAAGAGTGTAGGAATTTTGGAAATTATTCTTGTCTGCCTAAGTCAGACACGATGAAACAAAGTTTTTAAGACATCTTCTCACAATGGTTATAATATATTTGAAGTATATGTATGAGTATCATTCATTAATGACTGGAATGGTTTGTAGATTTAGGTTTCATGAGTCCAATAGGTAAAAGGATTAGAGGTGTTTTGTTTGTGTATTAGCATATAATTCTTTCCTTATGCTGAGTTCTTTCTCCATTTTATCTGTGTATTCAGAAAAAGTGTCCAATTAATGTACATATGTGTTACATATCTACACAGTCTTTTATTTCTGTCTCTCACTTTAAATTGTCTGGAGCCTTTGTTGGGAAGGGCAGCATATACATCTAAAAATAACATAAAGGTTCTAAATGTATTGCACTAAGTTGAAGGCTTGAACTCCATGGATTCTGTCTATAAGAGCAAGACATTATATTCATTACTACTTGAAGGGTAATTTTCTGTAATTGTATTATGATCTTAGATTTCTTTGGCTTTTCTAATGGGATTATTCCTCTGGTCATTTCTTTTGTCATGGCTTTGTACATATATACAGACATATCTATTAAAATCCTTTGTATCTGAAATTTTCAGAGGCTATTTTAAATTGTAGGGTGCATATGGAGGATGGCCAATCTTCCTAGTGAGAATGGCCCTTTAAATTCAACTTATAATGAACAATTGCATCAGTTACAGTTAAAAAGAAATGTCAGCCACCAATCGATGAGGGATAAAAATGTCCTGCGCACAGGTTTTTCCATTATTGCTTTTTATGAGATTTTATACCTGCCTCTGAAACATCTGGCCACTGTCGGAGAAAAGATGAATCAAAAAACAATTGATCCAGCAGTTTGTGTAAGTCCTCTGAGAGTGTTTTCTTAATTTCTCTAAGGACAAGGTGTGTTTCCTGTTAGCAACTAAGGTTCAGTTTCTTGAGAGGTTTGGTGACTTGAGGTCATTTCACAATTCCATGTCTCAAACCTGATCTGGAAGCACATTTCCCCTTGCCTTATTGTCCTCTTTTAAGGGGGAAAGACATTTGGGGTATGTAAAGAAGACACTCAAGATGCGATTTCCAGAATTAGGGGAGTCACAAGATAAGAAATGTCCATTCTGAGTTATCCCATTCCTTAGTGGTCTCTAGCTTGCAAACTTTTGCAATGTCTTGATGCTTTTAGTAGACTTGCTGCCTTTGAGGTTTTTCTTGTGGACCTTCAGTTCTCCCCTGAGGACTTTACAGGCAGCAGTTAATGCTGTGAGAAGCTTCTTTAATTTCTGAATGAGTATCCAATTAGGAGTGGAGTATTTCCCCACAGGGGCTGCTCCCATTATTGGTAAATAAGATACTGAACTCTTCTGTTAAACTTTTGTAGCAGTCTTCTTTCTCATGTCCTTGTCATAAATGAAATTTTTTTCAAGAATTCTGTATAATTCCATTGCTGTAGCAAGGTCCTCCTTTGTACAAGTCTCACCAAGTAATCAGCAAATGAGCAGGTGCTCTATGGTCTGCACTTCACTGCACTCTCATATATGCGTGTAATTAGAGTAGCCCCAGTTGATCATGTTTGTTTTTGATCTTACAGTTTGCATGAACCGGCAGTTCGAGCATCACCATTTTGACCAGTCTGTATCAGCCACTCAGAGAAGGTCCTCCTGGGGTTCTAAGGCATCTAATTGTGCATAATCTTTCCTCCTTTAATCTCAATCATGCTCTGTCATCCATTGTGTCCAAGGATGCAGCATTGGTTGTAAACAATTTCGTGCTGTAAGACCTTTGGTTACTTTTGTGTGACGATATAATGGATGCCTGGATTCCATCTGCCATAATCTTTCATTTTGGCTCACTGTTTTTCTTCTGATATCAGCAGAGGTGCACTAGTACATTAGTCCATATCGTATAAGCACCGATAAAAGGAAAATTGACTTTATCAGCAGTCAGCTTTTTTTGGCTGATGTAGCTGATAATGTTACTGATAAATGCTGCATGCATACAGCATGCATGTGGCCATAAGTGCAGCCCAGGAGCTTGGAGAGCAGCGTCCAGCTGGTAAGCCTGTGAGAGGGAAGGACCATGGAGGGGTGCAGATCAAGGTCCCCGCGATGAGGGAGGGAGTGGGGCTGGAGCAGGATCAGGCGCTGCAGCTGGGGCAGTGTGGGGCACAAGACAGAGCCAGTGGCTTGAGTGAGGAGAGGAGGGGGGCTTCTGTCACTGTGCACACCACCAGGGCGGGCATGGTTGGGTATGTGCCCCTTGGATCTGTGCACGGGCTGAGGGTAGGCTGCCATTGTGGGCTGGGGCCAGGGCTTCTCTAGCTTCTTCCGGGCAGCTGTGCTTGGGCAGGTGGGGCAGGCATGGTGGCACTGGGAGTGAGGTTATGGGTAGACTAGAGCTACCCCAAATTTGCTGTAGCCACCCCTTGCAGTGCTGCTGCCGCTTGCTATGCCCCCACTGGGCCTGAGCACAGTCACTGGAAAGAGGCTGGAGCAGCCCCAGCCTCATGCAAAAATCGAGGGGGCACATGCTCCCCAATCGTCCCCCAGGAGTGCATGCAGCCCCATTCCCTCCCTCACCACAGCGACCTCGATCTGTACCCCCCCCCCGTGTCCCTTTCCTCCCACAGACTTACCAGCCAGACGCTGCAGCATTTATCAGTGACATAATCAGCAATCAGATTGGTATCAGCAGATATGGCTGGTCAATAATTGGCCATCAGTATCAGTTCAAAAAATCTTTATCAGTGCATGCCTAGATATCAGGTGGTACAATGCCAGCCAGTAAATACAGGCTGTCCTTTGGTGTTGGCTTTAGACATCCTGTTATTTCATGGCAACTGTTTTTTAGAATTGGGTTTAGTTTCTTGGCATGGACTGATCATTCCCATTGCATACCCTGTAATGGAGTAACACAAGGCAATAGCAGTGGTTCATAATGTAGCTGGGTTTGCTTCCCATTTTGAGATGACCACTTTTGAAGTATTGTGTTGTGGGCTTTCTCTTTCTTCTCTGCATGTGCTTTGAAGATAAGTTTTTGGTCCAGTGTAACCCCTAAGTACACAGGGTTCAGAGGATTAATCAGTGAGATTCCATCCCAGGTGATGTTTAATTTCTGCTTGGCTTCTCTGCATCTTGGTTGTGTTGGCATGAAGCTGGTTCTTATTGTAATAATCTCAGTGTGCATGTCAGTCTGTTCTTGACAGTGGTTAAATCCTTCTCTTGCCATGTGATGCATAGATCATCAGTGTATATGAAATTCCTCGTATTGCTCTGTATGAGTTGGTCATTGGTATATATATTAAAGATGCTGCCCTGTGGAAGGCCGTTTCAATAGTACATTTAATAGAAGTTATAGATTCTTCTCTTGGAGTACACATGGTGGGGGAACATAAAGAACCTGGGTGGTGTACCAGGTTTA